GGCGTGGCTTAAAGGCAAAAGGGGTGGGGTTTAGGGGGTAAAATGGGCGGGGTTTATGTGGGAAAGGGGTGGGGCTTAAAGGGTAAAGTGGGCGGGGTCTATGAGGAAAAGGGGTGGGGTTTAAAGTATTAAGTGGGCGTGGTTTATGTGGATAAGGGGTGGAGTTTAAGGGGTCTAGTGGGCGGGGCTTATGTGTGAAAGGGGCGGGGATTAAAGTGTAAAATGGGTGGGGTTTATGTGGTAAATGGGTGGGGTTTAAGGGGTAAAGTGGGCGTGGTTTGAGGGGGAAAGGGGCGGGGCTTAAGGCATTAAATGGATCTGGTTTATGAGGATAAGGGGCGGGGCTTAAAGTGAAAATTGGGTTGGGTTTATGAGGGAAAGGGGCGGGGCTTAAGGCATAAAATGGGTGGGGTTTATGTGGTAAATGGGTGGGGTTTAAAGGGTAAAATGGGCGTGGCTTAAAGGCAAAAGGGGTGGGGCTTAAGGGGGTAAATGGGAGGGGTTTAAGGGTTAAAATGGGTGGGGTTTAAATGGCGAGTGGGCGTGGCTTAAGGGTTGAAAATGGGCGGGGCTTAAATGGAATTGGGGCGTGGTTTGGAGCAAAACGGGCGTGGCTTCAGGACAAAAAGGGGTGGGGCTTCAATGTGTGAGGTTAAAGGGGCGTGGCTTGTGTGGAAGGGGCGGGGTTTAAGACTCAAAATGGGCGGGGCTTAAATTGATTTGGGGCGTGGCTTCCCGAATTAATGGCTGTGGTGAAATGGGCGTGGTTTACGGGGTAAAGGGGCGGGGTTTGCCTTGTGGGCGTGGCCTGAGCGGGCGTGTCCTTCAGGAGGAGGAGGAGGATGAGGAAGGCCAAGGGGGCGGAGCCAAAGCCCCGGGGCTGGGGGGAGGGCGGCGCTACGTCCCGCCCCGCCTGGTGCCCGTGGCCTGTGGTGAGTCCCTCATTTGCATATCATTTGCATACCATTTCAATACTGTTTACTTTGTTTTAAAGCCGTTTCCCTCATTTAAATCCCATTTTAATCTCATTTTAATCCCACTTTAACCAAATTTCCCTCTTTTTAACCCCATTTCCCTCATTTAAATCCCACTCTAATCTCATTTTAATCCCATTTTCATCTCATTTGCATAGCATTTCCTTTGTTTTAACCCCCGTTTCCCTCGTTTAAATCCCATTTTCATCTCATTTATTGCCATTTTTCACCCAGTTTTTCCCCATTTTTTCACCGTTTTTCCCCATTTTTTCCCACTTTTAACCAATTTCCCCATTTTTTCCCCCATTCCAGACCCTCAATCCCGGTCAGGTCTCCAGGTCCTGATCCCTTTTTCCCCCATATTTAACCATTTTATTCCCGTTTTCCCCTTGTTTTTCCCCATTTTTTCACCGTTTTTCCTCGTTTTTTCACCGTTTGTTCCCATTTTTTCCCCATTTCCCCCTTTTAACCAATTTCCCGGTTTTTTCCCCCATTTCACACCCTCAATCCCGGTCAGGTCTCCATGTCCTGATCCCATTTCCCCCCATTTTTCCCCCCCTTTTTAACCCAATTTTCCCTTTCTTAACCATTTTAACCCAATTTTCCCCCCATTTTTTCCCCATTTTTTCCCCGTTTTTCCCCGTTTTTCCCCATTTCCCCCTTTTAACCAATTTCCTGGTTTTTTCCCCCATTCCAGCGCCCCCCGAGGCCGAGTCCCGGGCCCTGATCCCTTTTTAACCCCTTCTTAACCATTTTAATCCCGTTTTTAACCCTTTTATTGCCATTTTTCCCCATTTTTTCCCTGTTTTTCCCCGTTTTTCCCCATTTCCCCCTTTTAACCAATTTCCCGGTTTTTTCCCCCGTTCCAGCGCCCCCCGAGGCCGAGTCCCGGGCCCAGCTCCGCGCCCGGCGCCGCGCGCTCAGCTCGGCCGCGCTGCGGGAGCTGCAGCAGGAGCTGGGGGAGGGGCCCCTGCAGGAGGGGGAGGGGCTGCAGGCGTCCCGCGAGGAGCGCCACAGGTGAGATTTGGGCTAAAAAACCGGGATTTTGGGAAACTTGGGGATTTGGGGGATTTCCACATTTTTCCTGATTTTTCTTCAATTTTTTTCTATTTTTTTCCATTTTTTTTCTATTTTTTTCAATTTTTTTTTCAATTTTTTTTTCAATTTTTTTTCAATTTTTTTCCATTTTTTTCTATTTTTTTTCCTTGTTTTTTTAAATTTTTTCTGATTGTTTTCCTTTTTTTCCCCATTTTTTTCTATATTTTTCTATTTTTTTTCCTTTTTTTCAAATTTTTTCTGATTGTTTTCCATTTTTTTCCCATTTTTTTCTACCTTTTTCTATTTTTTTTCTTTTTTTCAAATTTTTTCTGATTGTTTTCCATTTTTTTTTCCATTTTTTCCTACCTTTTTCTATTTTTTTTCCTTCTTTTTTTAAATTTTTTTCTGATTGTTTTCCAATTTTTTTTCCCATTTTTCTATTTTTTTCTATTTTTTTTCTTTCTTTTTTAAAATTTTTTCTGATTGTTTTCCTTTTTTTTCCCCATTTTTTTCTATTTTTTTCTATTTTATTTCCTTCTTTTTTTAAATTGTTTCTGATTGTTTTCCATTTTTTTTTCCATTTTTTTTCTATCTTTTTCTATTTTTTTTCCTTTTTTTTCAAATTTTTTCTGATTGTTTTCCATTTTTTTTCCCATTTTTTTCTACCTTTTTCTATTTTTTTCCTTCTTTTTTTAAATTTTTTCTGATTGTGTTCCATTTTTTTCCCATTTTTTCTATCTTTTTCTATTTTTTTTCTTTTTTTTCAAATTTTTTCTGATTGTTTCCATTTTTTCCCATTTTTTCCTATATTTTTCTATTTTTTTTTCCTTTTTTTCAACTTTTTTCTGATTTTTTCCCAATTTTTTTCCTATTTTTTCC